CAGAGGGTGCTGGGGGAAGGGGGTGGCAGGGGGTGGCCGTGCAGGGACAAAGCGGAGTCCTGGCTGGGAGAGCCTCCGTGGGCGAGCGGGCGTGCGCGGTCCCCGGGCGCAGCAGCCTCAGAACACACCTGGGGAGACAAGCGGAGGGGGGGACACAACAGCACCCGTGAAACCCTCCTCGGCCCAGGGCTGGGGAGGGGCAGGGAGGGAGGGAGGAAGGTCGCAGGAGGAGGAGGAGAGCCAAGGCAGGACCACTGGCAATGGTGAGGGTGGGAACGCCTCTGAGCATCACTGAGGGTCACTGCTGCTGCGGGAAGCAGGGAGGGACAGTACCCCCAGGCCAAGGCCGGGGGGGAGGGAGGTGACAGTGCCCTGTAGGGTGTGCAAGGCATAGGGAAGGGGGTGACCAGGCAGGGTCTGCAATGGGGAGGACAGAGGAGGAGGAAGGGGTACAGGCAGGAGCGACAGCATCCAGAGGGGAGAGACAGACACAAGGCACCAAGCAGAGCCCACGTGCACACACGTCCTTGAGAGGAGGGAGAGCCCGACCCAGTACTCCCCAGCCTGGGCAGGGGCAGGCAGCAGCCAGGGAGGCACCAGCTGGAGCCCCTGCCCATCTGCAGGGCAGGCAGGGAGACAGGAGCAGGCAGAGCTGGGGCATGCCTGCCCGCGGGCACCCCACGCTTCCAGCAGCCAGGGCAGGGAACTGCCCCTCTTCCCGGGACCCCACCAAGGGCCCCTCTTCCAGCCACAACCCCCAACTTTGGCAACCCCCCACCCCGGGGTGCCACCAGCCGCCCACCCACCTGAGCAGCAGCAAGGAGGCAGGGCAGGAAAGACCCCCTCCCTTGCTGGGGGAGGCAGGAGCAGAGCCCCAGGCAGCGAGACCCCACCCCTCCTTTCCTCTCCCTCTCCCTCGGTGGGGGGGGCACAACCCCAGCCCCACGCTCAGAGCAGGGGGCAGTGCCACTGCTTCGCTTTGGGGACAGGTTCGTGCCCCGCTCTGGCGGGGCTGCCGGCCCCCGGCGGTTCCCGCTCTGGGCCCCCCCGGGGACCATGGGCTCTGCGGGCAGAGGACGGGGTGCCGGGGCTGCCCCCTGGCACCGGCAGGGCGCCGGGGCCATGCCCACCTGCTCGGTGGTGCCCCGCAGCCTCCATCTCGGAGAGGCTGTAGGCCATGGCCAGCTGCAAGTCCTCGTCCTCGTCCTCGCTGTCCGTGTAGAGGCAGACGGGCGAGGAGCTCGGGGGCCGGTGCGGGGCGGGCGGTGGGGGCGAGGTGGGCCGTGGGCTGGGGAAGGCTTGCTGTTCCCGCCGGCTCAGCTCCAGCCCCAGCGCCATGTCATCAGGGACGCCTGTGGGGACAGGGGCAGGCGATGGGGGTTGTGTCCGCTCCAACTCCCCAGAGCTCGCACCGGGCCCCAGCAACTCCTGCCCACCCCACCAATCCTTCAGGGCAGAGCCCCAAACCAGGGCCGACCAGGGCTCAGACCAAAACCAAGCCTGGATGCAGCACCCCCCTGCCACCCCAAAGGAGGAGAAGGGTCCCCAAAGGGAAAGGGCGCCGGGAGGTGGCACTGCCAGACCCCACCAAGGCGGTCTGCGGTGCTACTTCTCACCATCGATGTGGATTGACTTCAGCTCCCCGTCCTCCTCCACTTCCACCCGCTCCCGCCCGTTCTCGATAATCCTGCAGACAGACAGACAGACAGACGGATGGATGGACGGTCAAGGGCCAGGCAGCCAGAGCATCGCAGAGGCAAGCTGCATGGTCCAAGGCCCGCCGATGAGGGGGTCCGCAGAGGCGAGGTGGGCCGGCACTGCCCTCACCGCTTGGTGGTGATGCGCCTGCCATTAACGAAGGTGGTAGAGGTGGAGACGGAGCGGAAGCCCAGCCCTGCGTCGGCGCCGGAGCTGAATGACGAGGCGAAGAAATCTGGAGAAAGGAGTGACAAGGTCGGTGCCAGGGTGGGGGCAAGAGGAAGGCAGGGGACAGACCCTGCGCAGGGGGACACGGTGTCCCGGGATGCCCCTGACGGGCAGGGGCTGGCAGCGTCTCCTACCTGAGGATCCTGGGAAGGAGGAAAAGAAGTGGCTTCCCCCGTGGTGCCGGGGACCAGGTCCTCGCAGCTCAGAGAAGGGCAGCATCTCATCTGGAAGGCAGGGCCTTCCCCATCAGCATTGGTCCCGTGGCTTGGCGAGCCAGGAGCAGGGCACTGCTGTGGGGACCCCTCGCCGGGGCCAGCCGTACACCCTGTTCCCAAGCCCAGCGGCTGCCCTGGGGCCAGAGAGGTGCCCCAGAGGCAGTCGCCGCCCCCCCCCCCCCCCACACACACCAAAGAAGTCAGCGAAGGGATCTCGCCCGCCGAAGAACTCCCGGAAGACGTCGTGAGCACTGCGGAAGGTGAAGGTGAATTCGGGGGCCCCGGCATCGGCCCTGGAGCCCCCTGGTCCTGCCAGAGGGAAGAAACTCGGAGTTAAGTGGAGCCCTGGGTGGGAACACCCTGAAGGGCAGGGAGCCCCAGGGGGGCACAGACCCACACCAGGTCTTCAGACAGGGCTGTATCCAGACCTGCACTAACCCCCCCTGGCCCTGCTCACCCAACTCACCTGCCCCCATGAGTCCGTCCTTGCCGTAACGGTCATAGACGTCACGCTTCTGCTCTGGAAGGAGAAGAAAGGGGGCTGCGGGGAAACCGCCTGCCAGGCATGGGCAGGAGGACTGATGCTTCCCCCAGCCAAGGAAGGTGCAGAACAGCAGGGAGCAAGAGGAGGGGGGTGGCATAAGCCCCTATTGCACCAGCACTGCTCCCAAACCCAAGTCGGGGCATCAGGCGACAGTGCGCAAGCCTCAGCCCCACTGGGGAGACCTCATCCTGGAGGCCAGCACCCCAGCATCTTTCCCAAGAGCTGTTTGGGGGATGTGTGAGGAGGTAACTAAGCCCCACAAGCCAGGCTAAAGCTGGAGGGACCCGCTGCCTCCCAGGGATGTCCAGAGATGACACCTGGGTGAGCCCAGCAGCAGGACACCCCAGCAGCCCCAAGAGCAGGGGACCCACACGAGACTGCACCATGGCCTCTTACTGTCCGACAGCACTTCGTACGCCTCGGCGATCTCCTTGAACCTTTGCTCAGCATACTCCTTGTTGTCTGGGTTTTTATCCGGGTGCCATTTCAGCGCGGCCTTCCTGTACCTGCACAGATGGGCAGTGATGGGCACGCAGCAGCCTTCGGGCAGTGGGGGCTCCTGTGCCAGGGACCCCGCTCTGAGCACACGCCTCCAACTCTGTGGGCAGGGGCACCCCGAGCCCTCTTCACCCAACGCCCTACAGCCTCAGGCATCAAATGGGAGCTTCCTGGACTGGTTCTGCCTCCCGAGCAAATATTTGCAGCATGACCCCAGCGGTGCAGCCTGTCCCCACCTCAGCTGCCTGTGGCAGCGGCTCCAGACTATGCTCACAGGTTTGCTCCGGAGCCTTCCCGGGCTCCACTGTGGGCATGCAAGGACCAGAGGTTGCTGGGGGGCTCCTGGGGCCAGGTGAGCACAAGCAGCCCTTTCCTCCTGCCTGCAGCTAGCTGGGGTTAACCCAGGCTGCCCAGCTTCTCTCACCCACTCTTAGGAATCCCCCCCAGCAGAGACCTCTGCCCCCCACCCAGGCAAGCCACCAGTCTGCCCCTATTCCCCCCGGTGATGCCTTTCCCCAGGGAGAGCAGCAAGACCTCGGCAGGGTGCCAGGCAGGAGCTGCAGGAGGCTCCGTCCACCCCCAGGGCTCCCCTGCAGCACCTGGGGTGCAGCACATGACCTGCCAACGGGGGCCCGGTCCGGTGCCGGGGGACACGCTGCTCCTCTCCCCTCGAGCTCCAGCCCCTTGACCCTGATGCCAGCAGAGCCCCCACGCCCCAGCTCTCTGCCATCCCCACACCCTCTGGCAGAGAGAGGGGACGCCTCCAAACACCGGCGGGACCCACCTCCTGCCTCCAGCCCCAGTTCTGGACTGAGAGCGGGGACAAAGGGACCAAACCCCACCAAGAGATGCCTTTGTGCGGCAGTGAAGCCCAGCCCCGCTCTGGCCTCCGCACAAAGGAAACAAAGGCTGGATTGTCACCTCTGGAGCTGGGCCCTGTCCCCACTGGCCCCGCAGGGAGCCCCCGCCTCGCTGGCGCCCGGGGGGTGGGGGGGGTGGGGGTGAATGGGGTGTGGGCTGGCTCTACCCGGTGGGCAGGATCACGCCAGCCACACACTTACGCTTTCTTGATGTCGTCGGCGGTGGCATTGCGGCTCACCCCCAGCGCTTCGTAGTAGTCCACCATGACGTGTGGCTGTCCCACGGGGTCACTGCGGGAGGGAAAGGCAACATCAGGGGGTCCGCAGGCACAGCCTGGCAGCGCCGGGTGTGAGGGACCAAGGGCGGGCTGCCCTGCCCTCCCCAGACACCCCAGCCACCCCGCAGGTCCCCCCGAGAGCAGCTCAGTAGCAACCCCACACACAGCTCCCCAGCACCCTGCCTGCACCTCAGCCACCTGGATGCAGGCACAGCCCCAGCCGGGGACCCATTACTCCTGCCGCACCGCCGTCCCACCTGCATCACCCCAACTTGCCCAAGCAAGGGGACAGAGATCCTCGCTGCCGGCACCCCTGGTCTGCCCTGCTCTCCTCCAGCTGCCCCAGCTCCCCTCCCGTCCCCCCCCGGGGGGCTCTGTCCTGGGGCGGGGACGGGTGGGGGGAGAGGCAGTAGGAGCAGCCCGCTAAGGTGCTTAGCGGCTGGAGCGGATTAAGGGCTCAGCGGGGACCCTCCCCATCCCCGGGCATCCCGGGGCACTTCAACCGGCCGGCCCGCTCCGGATCGGGGACGGGAGCGGGATGCCGCCGCTCCAGCCCCCCGCGAGCCCGGGGTACCGACCCCCCCGCCCCATACTCGCCCCCCGCCCGCGCTGCCCGGGCGCATCAGCTGACGGGGAGGGCGACGCTGGCACCGGCACCAGTACGGCACTGGGAGCGCGGCGGGGCGGTGCCGCCGGGGACCGCCCCCCCCCGGCCCGGCTGTAAACACGGCGCTCCC